ATCAAGATATGTTATTGACTGGAAAAGTGCAGAATTCTTTTGATAGTTTATTTAAAGAAAATATACAGTAGAACCTCTCCTAGGTGGACATCAATCGGGCTTGTTCAAATCGCCTACCTTACGGAGGTGTCGATCATATAGAGTTTACATATATCGACCACTAGTACATTATTCACTAGCGAAACCATAAACAACAGTCCTACTTACATAGATCAGTCAGAACGTAATAAGAATGGTACTTTAGTTTTTCATAAGTAGCTTAAAAAACTTTTCTTTCTATACAGTCTTCTAGAGAAAACAACGCTCTATTTTTTTATGCTACTTGATTATAGGCCTATTCCATGCGGTTTCGACCACAAAAAACACAAGCATCTTGAAATCGATCGAAAATTATCCCATTTTGTAGAGCTCAATGAGTTATATTTACTGTAAAAAAATCACCTTAGAATACCATTCCATTAGGGAGATATGAGGTCCACAAGTTTAGTTGGAAATTGCCATAAATGCTAAAAAGCCAGAAAACTTGAAAATTTGCTAAATTTTGTGGTCTTCACTTTTTCGATATTGAATAAGCGAAAATTAATTCCAATTATATATTCTTATTCCTCGTGATCTGCCGCGTTCGCTCATATATTGCTTTTTATTTTTCATGAACCCAATAAAATTTTTCCCAAAACCATTCTTGTACCCTATCACAAAATGAGAGTGTTCAAACTCGGTCCATAGGAAGTTGCTTAAGACGGATTCCACAATTTGGTAACTTAGTGGGTTTTGTAGAGGAGACTTTGCTCTCTCAAACCCTATATATGGAATTTTATTCCAACTCGAAATGATCGAAATATTAGCGTTTACTTTTTGTGGAAAATAATAGTCCATAATCAAGCAAATCTGCAGATTCATAGATTTTACTGAGAAGTGTTTATTCTTATGGATAACCAAATGTAACCAAAAAAAAAACAAATTATCTAACATTAGAAAACACCTTTTAAAACTTCGATTGACACATGAAAAGTTACAGTATGGTAAAGTGTTGATATATATAGAGTCAATATAATACAATGAAAAATATTATGATAATAAATAGGTTGGAAAAATTGTTGATCAAAAAAGATTTATAATTCTAACTAGGCAATTGTGTATTTCTATTTTATAATGCTTACTAAAATCTGAGTTTATGTAGAAATTAAAACTCTCCTATATCTTCAGCAAGAATATAAGTCATACCGGATTAGTGTCAGTTTACTATCATTTTGATGGTATCTTGAAATATATTCAATATTATGATTTTTTGTATAAATACATATGTGTGAAAGAAAAGATTTTAAACACATAGCAGAACAACATATATCTAAATTAATTGATTTAGTTGTTTTTTAAATAACAATTAAATTTGGTATTAATGAAGATAGCTTAGAATTCTTCATATATACTTTTAATATCGGTAAATTGTTCATGATTTAAATAAACTTCATCTTGTTCGTCAAGTACAGGATCATGGCGTAGTAAAAGACCAATATTTTGGATATTTATATTAAAACTGTCCCTGTGTCTTGATCGAGATACATAGAAGATGGTGCCTCAAAATGATGGTTCATAGTATTGTACTTGTATGTCCTGAGTTAAATGATTGATCAGCTTTATTTTTTATAAAAGAAAATCGTCATTGTCATTGATAGTAACAAAGGTGCCGACATCAAGTTCATTTAATGTGCGTACCTATTGAACCGATGATTCATAGTTGTTCTTGATCGTGTACATAGATTTATGCAGCTAATTCAAGATACGCGTAAGAACTCTTCTTATCCGAGAAATTAAAATTCAGAGAGAACATCTTTGCATCGATAGACCCAATGTTAAACTATGAGTATATATATTTATCAAAGTAAATATATATCCTATCGTTCCAAAAAAATAATAATATATGCAAAAATACATAATATTGAAGACATTTCAAGATACCATCAAAATGATAGTAAACTGACGCTAATCCTGTATGACTTATATTCTTGCAGAAGATATAGGAGAGTTCTAATTTCTCCATAAACTCAGATTATAGTAATCATTATAAAATAGAAATACACAATTGCTTAATTAGAATTATAAATCTTTTTGATCAACATTTTTTCCAAGCTATTTATTATCATAATGCTTTCCATTATATCATATTGACTTTATATATAGGCTCAATCATTCGTTAGCGACGTAACATCGCAAACTTGGAGTATGCATATCCCGGAATTAGCAGCCAGTTTAGGTGTAATTGTTGCATGTTGTACGAGTCTCTATTTACTCTAGATGCCATGAAAAAGCAACACTCTAGAGCTTTTTCCAGAGAAGTTATTAACGAAAAACTAGCGTTAGCAACGTGACACCAAAAATGACATCAACTGTCACTTGATATACTTTGGTTTTAGAAAATTTCCAAATGTTGTGCAATTGCCGAAAACTTAATACGCCATACTAGACACGATGCCTAAGACTACCAAATTTCGGTGTAAAATTGTTTTGAACATGTCTAAGTTTTCCAAAAAAAACCGAAATCTATCCAGCATCAGCGACGTGATAATTTCGTTAGCAACGTGACTGAGTACGATTCCACTACCGATCAAAAACTCTGATGACGAACTGAAAAGTTCGAACTCGATTCCAAGGAGTTCATGTTAAGGGTAGGACTCCCTAGAATAATACTAAGACAAATGTTTTCGTTTCAACTTTGCCTGAAGGTTCTAAAAAGTCCATTTTGTGGAGAGAACTTTCTGAAGTTCTATCTCGCTGAAAATTTTACTATATATGTGGCTGATACCTTAACCCTTTGAGTCCTGAATTTTTTCTACCGAACGAAATTTGATGAAACTTAGTGTAAACTAACTAGGTGACTATCATGAAGCATATGGTTAATTTGATCACATCTTGACTTATAAACTTGTATAATGAATCTATTGGTTTGATTATTTTACTGTTTCCTAATACATGTCCATCAAAATAATTGACAGAAGTTGAAAAATCTGAGTTGTCCATATTCTATTTTCATTCCTCAAAGATGACTTAATTTTTGTACAGTCTTTTGTGATAGCGCGATGAATTATGATATTAATTTTTTGAAATTCAAGTTATATAGTCAAACCTATTTTCGGACTAAAGAAACTTGACATGGTACACTTGTCAATGTTATCCATACACCTCATCATTCGTGCAAGCTTGTAGGGCCTCTACCGACTTCTCATATTTATAGAAAATATTTCTCTAAGATTCTCAAAAACTCGAGGATTAGAAAATTTTCAAAGTGGTACATATTTGTACCACCAGGACTCAAAGGGTTAAAAAACGTTATGATTAAATTAACAGAAGATAAACTTAAAGAACATTCAAAACGAAAAGGTCCTAAGGCATCGGCAACAACAAATATCAATTTTGTTCCGGTCACAACAAATACAGCGCCAGAAACAAATGAAGTAATACCATCACCAACACCTCTATCACAAGTTTTACTTAATGATCACAAACAATATGTATTAAATTTGTTAAAACAATGGTATTCTCATAATAAAGAAAAACTTAAATTAGATAATGTAGATTTTACAGAAGGTGTTGATTTTCATCTAAATTTAATAAATATTAATGATGATATAGATGCAACAATATTATGCAATTGTGGAGCATTAACAAAATTACCAAAAAAAGATGGAAAATTACAATTATCAAATTTTTATAAACATTTAAAAGATTCTAAGTGTTTACATATGAAAGAAAAAAAAAAGAAAAACAAAGAAATAGCACAATTACCAATAGAACAAACATCAACACCAAAAGCTATTACTAGTTCAATAACATTAACACCACAAATTTCATCAAACACACCATCATCACAACCAACAACTTTAAGCGCAAAACGTTCAGCAATAGCATCAGATATGTTGTCATCGGTTAAAAAAAGGCCAAAATACATGTTATAAAAACTTCGTTTTATTTATTTTTTTCTATTTCTTATCAATTATAGATTATTTCGATTCATCTAATGTGTCAATTTTATATTATCTGCTTTACTACCACACATTGATATTGTTATCTTTTATGAATATTAGTATTTTTTTGTTAGGTGTTCAGCATTGTTCTTTTATATTTATCATAGTTGAAATAAGGAACAGTTCTCTTTCTAGGTATATATTTTCCTGTGTTCGGTCCGTTATTATGCGAGAAAGAGAAATAACATGACATTTTTTCTCTTTGAATATATTAGTGCAAAAAATACTGGTAAAAGAGAACTGATACTTTATCTTCTACTATATATTCTACTTTCATTATTTGTTTATTAATCTTTTTAAATCAAAATCTATATCATAAATAAAAACTGACTATATTTCTTCTAATTATTGAGTGAAAAAGTTACCTAAATCTATATAGAAGCAACTATATATGCATGTCGACCAGTATGGGGAAGTATTTAGAAGTACGAAGAAGTATGATGAAGTATGAAGAAATACGAAGAAGTATGATGAAGTACGAAGAAGTATAGAGAAGTACAGAGAAGTAGGAAGAAGTACGAAGAAGTATAAAGAAATATAAAGAAGTATGAAGAAGTACGAAAAAGTACAAAGAAGTATGGAGAAGTACGAGGAAGTACGAAGAAGTACGAAGAAGTACAGAAGTACAGAAGTCTGCTTTTTCCCCCTTGTCAAAGAATGAACAAATTAAACTTACGTATAGTGTTGTGTTGGTTGTTTCATATGTATTCAAAAACCTGCGCAATTGGAAAACTCAGATTCTTACAAACAGACTCGTAATCAGTAAAGACTTTTATAGAAATAGCAAATAAAAATATCTGATTTACAGATCTTAAATCATGTCAAAATAATAAACGTGAAAATATATTGCATAAAAACTGATCGGGACCAGTTTGCAGTTCTCTAGACTGAGCATCCCCAGATAGTGACAACCTACAAATATTCATTCATTACCACAGGAGATCTTTGAATAGTGTTTTGAATTAATGAGATATATTCAATGCGAGATACTGATAAAACCTAAATAGCTATGAATAGATGTTAAATACCTACGCATGAAGTCATTAGTCTCGGAAGGCGTTGAATTGTGCTTCACATTAAGTAAGTATTCAGTAATATATGTTGAGAAAAACAAATAGCTATAATTAAGTCTTAAGTATAAATAAAGAGTGTTCCATAAATAATAACCTCATTTTTATTTTATTTTTGCGCATATTTGCTATATTCAAAGGTGGATAGGCACGGTGTATATATATATTCGAAGAGTTACATTTAATCTCTTATTCAACAGAAACGCCATACAATATACATCAATCGTGACAAAGTGCCATAATGACAAAATTATTGAAAAAATTTTTTTTAAGTAATGTTTTACTTATTTTTCGATAAAGAATTACTTGCTTCGTATTTTGTACATATCTCTATCAGTTTTCTGATTGTTTTACTTGAACTTTTTTTCTACAAGATACCCTGTGAAATTCTCTACAAAGTCTAAGAAAAACAGTTCTTCAAACTGATAACTCAAAAATCATATGTGATCAGAGGAATTACAATCTAACAAAAGGTTCACTTTCTCGAACATTTTTTGTAGAAAACAAATTATTTCACTACTCCTAACTAAATATGTGTCTGATCATTTTAAGTTATGTTTTTTTGAAAAATTGTTTTTCTCGAACTTGTAGAAAATTCATCTCAAAACATTAAAAATTGATAGCGATATTCATGAAATATAGATCGAGCAATTCACTACAGAAAATTATTTTAATAAACTTTTTAAAATTTTTTTGTCATTGTGACACTTTCGTAGTGTTGATGTAAATTGGCTACTATTTCTATTGAATAATAGCTTAGACGTTACTCTTCAAATATATATATCCAATAGCTCGTCACCTTTGAATATGACAAAGATGCAAGAGCCATCAAAACTCATTCATTAGTCTCAGAAATCTTTAAATAATACTTCAGATTAAGTAGCTATTCAGTTAGAGATATTGAACAAACTAAGTATCTATCAATCGATTATAAGTTGCTGTGCATGTTTATTACGTAGTACTCGATAATTAGTAGTTATTTACTTCGAGATTATTAAACAATGAAGAGCTGCGAATATTCATTCATTACCGCAGGAGATTTTTGAATAGTGTCTTAGATTAATAAGATCTATTCAATGCGAGACACTGAAAAAACCTACATATCTATGAATAGATGTTATATAGCTATGAATTAAAAGTTGTTGAATAGTGTTTCTGATTAATGAGCTATTCATTTAGAGACATTACTCAAAATAAATATTTATGAATAAATATTAAGTATAACGTGAATAAGAGAGATGGAATGACGAGTTCGATGGATACCAACCTATGATGTATTTCATTGTGATCAATAATTGCAAACTAGCGAAGTAGTATTGCCATCTCTCTAGGTATAGATATTCATTACATTACTTCCACATTCCGATTGTACTTGCTTGACATAGAACACAAACTTCTATGCGACTGACGAAAAAAAACAGGAAAGAGTGAAAAGTGAACAGGTATATATTATTATTCATGAGGTCAGAGTGTTTTGTCACATAGTGATCTAATGCTCTGACATCCTTGTACCGATAGAAGATCACCCTCTTATCATTGACACATGAAGTCTTCACAAACATTCGTTAAGTAGTGCTGAAAAACTTAAAATACTGCCTGACATTCATTGCCTATTCATTTGAAGATCTTGAAAAACAGATAGCTACTCATAGAAATCAAATAACTATGAGTATTGATTCATTATTTCTGGAAATCTTTGGATAGTGTTTAAGATTATTTATCTTTTCAGTTAGATATGTGGATAATCAAGAAATAACTAACTCTAAATTACGATGAATTCTCTTAAAGATCTTTGTTCTCTATTTTGATCTCTATTCTGTATACAGAAATCCTATCTCTTTCGAGAATGAGAATGCATCACTGAATATAATGTGCATTTCCGTATCAAATCCTAACGATAGTATATGGAAGTAGTTGATGAGCATATTCAATTGTTTTAATTAGAAAATTATTGCTTTTCTAGATATATTATAGGATTCGTTTCATTCAATGAGACAATCGAGAGTCGTCATGTTAAGTTTGATGTTTTACTCTCCCTTCAAATTCCATCGATCGTTTGTTATGTCGGCTTAATCTATCATATCGTATCCAATCGGTATAGGCTACGAGCACTTCAGAATCATGTTCCACTTGTTCTACTTTTCGTCGGTTTCATTACTGTCCTTGTTGATCTCCCCATGGTTCTCGACTTCTTACGTACTGGTACTGTCAGTTCCAGCACTGATGCTTATTGTCGCATCTGGAATTTTATCGATTTGCTGCTCTATGCACTTGTTTCTATATTGATGCTTTGGCAATCAATTGAACGGCATATTCTTATTTTTCACAATCAACAATTGCTTAATACACAACGAAAGCGTTTCTTTGTGCATTATGCTCCATGTGTTGTCATTTTCGGATATCTCATTTTGTTCTATACATACATAGCTTTCATCCATCCATGTGAAAATAATTTCGATTACAATCAAGTGGTCTGCGCTGGCTTATGCTTTGTTTTTGACACTCCTGCACTGGGTGTCTTCGATCAATTTGCTCACACTGTCATTCCGTCTATTCTCATTGTTGTTGTGAATGTAGGATTATGGGGTCGTGTTCTTTGGCAAAAGCATTACCGTATGCGACGTGCAGTGGAATGGCGACGACATCGCAAAATGATCTTACAATTTCTTCCCGTATCTATTCTCTACTCGTGTGGTTATCTCCCATTTGGATTTCTCCAATGTTATCAAGCAATAAATGGTCCAACACCTCTTAGTGTGACAATCCAACAGTTATACTTCTTCTATCTTTTCTATCTCGTTGGTGTATTGCATCCATTTGCTTGTCTGATTGGAATGCTTGAAATCTATGGAAAATGGTTTCGCAGAGAAAATCGACGTGTAGAGCATCGTGTTATTCACATAAACATTAGAAAGAATAAAGTTTCCCCGATTCATATATAAGTGTTAGTAGCAGTCATGTGAACTCATATGAACATTATAACTAACTGTAACTAAAAAAAATCTTTATCGTAACTGCCTTTTGTTTTAAAATAAAAGAAATGTGACAATCTCATTAATAATGCTTCATAGAAATAAGATAGAAACTTGTAGTTTTTTCCACGCTAAAAGCAGCACTGAGCAAGCCAAGATGGATGTCAAATTTCAGCAGCCACGTTGATGGTCAAAAGTGTGAAATTTTAATTGATATTTTAAATAATGAAATTTTAAACATATTCTACATTCAATTTGGTCTAAAATTCAGCTATTCGATAGTTAATATCAAACTGTTTCAATCTATTTAAATCCAAACTTTTACATTGTTCTGTTTAGCAGTGCATCCATAGGTTATCAGCTTTGAAGAAATAACTTTTTTTTTGATTGCGAACATTCAGTCTATAAAGTGACATCTACTTGATCTCGATTGAATATTGTATGAGCAAAGAGCTTTTACTTTGATGAGATGTAGGGTGTGGGTGTGGGTGTGGGTGAGTGTGGGTGTGGGTGTAGGTGTGGGTGTGGGTGTGGGTGTAGGCTTAGGTGTAGGTGTTATTCTTCTCTTGAATTACACCCACACCCCACACCTCGCACCTACATCCACATCCATATCCACACCCCACACCCCACACCTCGCACCTACATCCACATCCATATCCACACCCCACACCCACATCCATATCCACACCCCACACCCACATCCACATCCACACCCCACAGCCACAGCCACACCCGCCCACACCCACACCCACACCCCACACCCCACACCCATCCACACCCACACCCACACCCAAACCCACACCCAGGAAAAAAACCGGCGCAATTTTCAAACTTCAATAAACATCTCAATCGATGTACACCTGCGTGCTGTTGTTTCAGAGTACAACAATCGCATATTCACTTAGAGCAAAATGCGGTAAGGTTTCTTTTTTTTCTGTCGCTATAAATTCTGTTGTTCGTTTGTTTTTCTTTCCTCTCGCTGAAATTTCATGTCCTCAACACTGATCAACAGTTTATTTTCCGTTAATTGCTCGAGTGTGTGGCGGTTATTTTCAGGATGAGAGAAAGAACACTTAATAAAAAAAAGGAGAAAAAAAAACACTTACATACCTATATATTGAGAAGTAAAGTTGCTGCTGAGTAGTTAATTTTTTTTTCAGTAAAAACGAAAATCTTATTGCAATGCTTGGACAAAAATTTTTCTTGCCATAGTTTATCTATTACAATTTCTACTCTCAATTAAACTAGCAAGTATGTTATTCCATGAAGATTTTTATGTCTGTAGTTATGAACAAATTGTGAATTTTAGATGCTCAAACATGTTCATACATGTGGGATCCCATTTTCGAATCAAATTTGGCAAATCCGCCAACTATGTGCACCGGTATACATTCAAGGAATTGCTACTGTTTTGATCATAATTTGATCTTTGTTTTTTCTTTACTTTAGTGAGCACGACAAGTGACTTTCCTTGCATATTTCCATTTGTTTACCAAGAAGTAAGTTGTAGAAATAATTCTACTGTTCAATGAACTCATTAACAAATTTTTTCATCCAAGGTTACCTATACAAGCTGTACGATCAATGGTCCAAACAACACTGAATTTCGACCTCAATGTGCTATCAGTATTGATACTAGTCAATCAATCATTGAATGGTCATTCTGTAGGGGTGAGTAGTGTTGTTTCTACTCTCAAATAGTTCAAAATCCCTAACATTTCTATCTCTAAATCATGTCATTTGATGCGATCAATATTCAAAAAAATTCCTTACATGAGTTTCTTTAATAAAACCAAAAAAGTAAATAACTTAGCCAACTGATGGGTCGTTCTTGAAATTGTACTAGCACTGTACAGATAGACCAATATTCAGTTAGATTTCTTTTCTGGTTTAGATCAGTATTGGAAAATGTAAAGTAGAACAAACGAATAAATAAAGATATCATAAGATAAAATGAAAATTTTCATATACTTTCTTGTCTTTTTTCATATCAAAAAAGAAATCGAGCGTTAACAAACCAATTCTATTATGTAAAATGAAAAAGATTGACATGATGATGAATTAAATCAAAGCTAACACAATATCAATATTTCTCTCTGTTTAATTTAAATAAACTAAAAATAAATAATAAATGAAAAAAGCATGGATTTTTTTTATAGATATGCATAAAAATCTTCCTCAATACTCTGTACTGAGAAATCACGATTATATTGTTATGTCACAAGAGATATATGTTCGAGGACAGTCTTCTATTAGATTGTTTTTTATTTGTAAATACTTACTATTAAAACACTTTATAAGAAAATTGTGTGAATTTCGAACTTGAATAGAATTGTCTACTGTTAAGAATATGTACAAATGATTATAGTTTTAGTCTTTATTAATTTTCAAGTAAAAGCCTTGAAAACTTAGTATCCATTTCTACTCAGAAAGGCATATTAATAATAGTTTATTGGGATTTCACAAAGCTATTTAAAATTTGGGATACTCAATAATGTCACGATATAAAATAGATTTTATGAATTAAACTATGAGCCAACCGGTTTACATTGTATAGAAAATTCTATCTATGTTATTTTGAACATGCAACGTTCTCTTTCGATTCATATAATACCAAGTTCTCCAGCATGTTTTGTTCAATAGTTATACGAATGTTGGTAGAATAGAGGGTCTCTCTTCCGCTCACACTTATCCTATCTACAAGAAGTAGACGCAGTCATTTAATAATTTTGATATTTAATGTGATTTGTGATAACAAACTTTGTTTGTATAGTACCGACTGATGCTGTTATCTTTTACTCTACGGTAAGAAAGAGTGGTTCATGGACACAGAACAGTGGTAGTACACAAGGTGGTACTATGCTTTGGATCTATGGTAATCGATTTGCACAAAGCGGTTTCAATACAGTACCTTCAACAACGAACACCAATGTCGTTCAATTAGTCGATGGTTATTCAGTTTATAATTGTACAATGCACGAAGACAAAGTGACTAATACACAATTGACATGTTATACACCCAAAATGTCTAAAGGTGTTTATCAAATTCGAGTCTATGTAAATGGTAATTTGATTCCACTCTATCAATATTATGATCCAAAGAGAGCGACATTTTTACCAATGTCAAGTCAAACACCAACCATTACAGGAATTACACCATTGACAGCAACACCACGTTCATTGATATCACTTTTGGGTTCATTCAAATCACCATGTTTTTCGCGTGATATGGATGGCTGTTCTCAAGATAACAATCCACTTATCTCTCGGTAAGAATGAGCAAACTTTTATTAGAAAAAAAAGGTTCTCAGTTATAATTAACTTCAATAATCAAACACTTATCAGTTGACTATTATATGTTACATTAACTTTTACTATACATAGAAGAATTTTATTTTGAATTTCAAAGAATAAGACAATTTTGTACTTTACATATGAAACTATCATAGAATTCTACCTTCAAGAAACGATGAAGTAAATAAGATCTAAAATTTAGTAGTTGTACTAGATCGAATATTGATGCTACAAAGAATTGTAAAAGTAATCCTATCGTTTTGCATACTAATCACTTATATTCATCGACAAAGAATTTTCATAAATTAGTCAGAGTTGAGAATTGAAGTAAGTCATCTTTAACAAACTAAGAAAGATGTACGATAGATTTGAGTAATGTACAGACAGCATACTTTTTTTCAATTTTCCCTAGACAGTATAATTCTATAGAACCAAATATTTGTAGAAAATTTCCATTGTTTGTGTTTCAACAATGTATACTCTTGATAATAGTCATTGTCCAACTGAACGATAGTAGATTAACTATTTGTAGTCTTGTCAATAGCAAGATTGATGTAATACTTCTTGAAATTGAGTTGAAGAAGGAAACCCTTTCGATTTCAATGTAAAATTTCATTTAGCGAACTTGTTTAGTAATACATTTTTTTTAAAGTATTTACATGGGTGGTCAAATATGTAATGTGATTAATCCAATTACCGGTGCCAAGTAAGTATGTCTGGTTTAATACTATCTGTATTGGAATTTTTGACTCTTAGTTATTCGGAAGTAACTGATAGTAATCTTCTATGCAACTTCGATAGTAACGAAGTTGGTACGTAAGAAATTTCTTCAACACAATTCATAACTTAACTATTGTCTGATAAAGGCATTTTCAATATAAGCATGATTGTTACAAATGAATATGGACGTTCAATGGTTCGTTCAGATCTCTATCGAATATCTGCTACTGGTCAATTTTATAATTTTCAAACTTATGCAAGTCAGTTTTTTTCCCTGTTGTATGTAGTTTCCATTGATTTATGTTACTGTATTAAATTTTTAGTCGTTTCAAGTGTATCACCAACAATGGGTAGCATAGAAGGTGGTACAACATTAGTTGTCAATGGTCAATATTTCAGTCATACTACTCAATATCCAATCATAGTTCTCGTTGCTGGAGAAATTTGCACAATTTTAAGTGTCACTTCGACGACAATTGAATGTAGAACACCTGTCAATCCATCTATAGGTCGCAGCCAATATCAAGGTCAGTTGACATCATTTATCATAAATTTTCAATTACAAACAGTTTATTGCGATTAGGTGGACGAGGTCTTCAAGTGTTTTCTGATCGAATCATAGTTAGTCAAGTATGATAATAATAACTATTTATGCTTTTGCTTCTATTGCTTGTTTCATTACTTTAGATATCGATGAGCAGTACAAACCCGCCAATGCCTAGTATAAATGCAAATCAAACATGGATTGATGATGCATTATATGTATCCCAATCATCATCAAATGAAACTGTATGGATTATTGGATTTGTGCGTGTTCCAACCACGGCAACCTTCTCATTTATTCTAAAAACTAATGGCTATGGAGTTTTGTTTTTAAGTTCGAATGATAGTCCAATCAATAGAACGAAAATTGCTGATGCCATTACAGGATATAAATCAAATCCTATTGTTTTGGAAAACAATACCAAGTATGCTAAAGAATTCGTTTCTAACTAAGATTCGTATTTATTTTATAATGTTTTTCTTTTATAAAGTTATTATCTCTTATGTCTTGGTTCTCGAATCGGTGGCAATTTAAGTATATCAATACAAGCAAGAATGCATGAAACAACATTAACAGCAGGAACATCAAGTTTAGTTACGAATGAAATTCAACGTATCGATATCAACACTACGGTAACTAATGAAAAACAGGTATTTGTTAATAAGATGACAATTTTAATGATTATTATTTGTCTATTTCTCTAAAAACAGAGTCTTGTATACACAATGAATTCAACAAGCAATGGAACAGCTGAAGTCCAAACAATTGCAGTTGACAATTCAACTTTTCAGATTGGTTTTTATGGCGTCTACACGGGTCGGTTCACGTATTTTTGAAAAATTATGATGCACACTTCTGTTTTTCTACATTCAGGTGTACTCAATGGACGACCGACAGCTTCAATTGTCCAAACGGCTCTCAATGATTTACCAACTATCTATCCATTGTCTGTTAGAGTACAATCGACTAGTACACTTTACATTATCACATTTCCTGTCGAAATGGGTGATGTGCCACTACTAAATGTTATTTCTACAGCAGTCAATGAACCTAATGTGACTGAAACAGTTCAAGGTGTTGCATCAGGCACCAAACTAGCTTTTCAACTTGATGGAGCAATGACACGTTATCTTGATTTTGTTAACAATAATCTTACAGAAGCAAATTTGACTTTAGCTATTAATGAACTGTTTACTATTCGATGTCCAGTTTCTCTCAATAATCCACAAGCTACACCATCGATTGTCTATGTACAAGAATTCGAAATTGGTTGCATCTTTGACGAGGGTGTGGGTGTGGGTGTGGGTGTGGGTGTGGGTGTGGGTGGGTGTG